GGAATTAATCAATTAATAATTGATTGCCCCAGGAAGATTCAAGAATACATATACTCACTCCGTCTTAAAAAAACAACTTACAAATAAAATATAATATAATCTAATATACTCCCTCCATTCCAAATTGATCTACATATAGTTTTTTTTAGGTTATTCCTAAATAATCTACATATTTGTGTTCATTTATTAAGTCTATTCGTTATTTGTGCATTGGAGTAAATGGACAGTGATGCCACGTGCAATATCTTGATTTGCTATTGGCTAGGAAATAGTGGGGATAGTGTATGCATAGAGTTTGTTGCTAGAGTAAATATAGTATGAGAGAGTTATTAGTTTTTCTTGGTCTTGGTGTCCCTATGAAATATACAGGTCAATTTGAAATGGATGGAGTAATGAATAGGACGAGATGTACATAAGTACTGAATTAGCACATATCCTATTTTAGATTAGGTTTTTATGGAGTACCTGTCTAGATTTGTATAGTAGATTATGTCATATCCTATCATATACTTTAGGTTTTTAGAGCAAGTTTAATAGTATAGCCTACTACTAGCTCCAATTTATTTATAGCCAATCTAATAGCCAATTCATACAATAGTTGCTTACTATACTATTAATATGTGGTCTCACTAGTCATACATACTGTGTCTTGGAGTCCGTGCTGCAGCGGGCTACAGATTTATAGCCCGCTTCTCTTCTCTCTTATTTTTTATCTTATTAAAATATGTTTATAGCTGGCTAATAGTATGCTATTGTATCTGCTCTTATAAGACGAAGAGATTATGTGTGGCGTGATCCGAGATGATGATGATGATGATGATACTTCATTAATTGTGGAATTATGACCCGGTAGCACAGTTAGTGCCCACCACGCAATGTGAATGAAGTAGCTTAGCAGCATAGGAGGAGTATGCTCGTTGATTGTTTGATTAAAAAAATAAGAAGAGAAAAACATTAGCTATCGCCATGCCTGTGACAGTATGTCGTGTGTGTGATACAATCCGTGCAGCAACATGTGAGGATTTGCGAAGATTCAGAGCAGGCAAATGCACATGACACATATCCAGAGATTGATCAGCCAGAGCTAGTTTGTGTTTGGCTGTCACCGACGAGCACCAAGAAGAGGCCGTCTCACCGGAGGAGGAGAAGCCACCACGTAATTAAGAATTAAGAAGGGGGTGCTTTCCCAGCCTTCTCCAACTAGTAAAACCGTGCTATTTTTTTTTAAAAAAAGAACATAGTGTAGATTGTATAGTTTGGGGGAAAAAATGGCTTTAAACCAATCGCCTATATTACTGAAGCAAAATTTAGATTTATTACGGCTATGGGAAGAAGCTCCTCTGACGTGGGATGGTGATTATGTAGGCATGCAAACTGCAGAATCTAAATATCAGCTACCCAAAATGAGAGAGTAGTATAGAATCTTTTGGCCTTGGCTAACTGTTGCCGGCAAAAGCGGTCCGAATTAAACAGGGACGTAGTTGAATTTTTGTCCAACGTTTGCCATTCATCTTATTCAAAAAATTTATGCAATTATTATTTATTTTATTGTGACTTGATTCATCATTAAATGTTCTTTAAGCATGACATAAATATTTTCACATTTTCACAAAAATTTTGAATAAAACGAATAGTCAAATGTTAGTCAAAAAGTCAACGGCGTCATATATTAAAATACGAAGGGATTATTTGTGTATTTGTAGCGCTCCAAAACAGGAGGCCTCACTGCGAAAAGTCCCCTCAAATCAGGCAGGCCGCGTGGATAGTTTGGGCTTGACGTGGGCCTCACTGGGCTTATCCCACGAAATCACCGGTTAATTCGCGGATCCCATCAACCTCTCCGTTGCTGTTGCATCAGAGGTGACGACGACGATGAGGATGCGATCTTGCGCAAGAAACGTCACATTACAGGGTGTGTTCAGTTCACCTTAAAATTAAAAGTTTGATTAAAATTAAAACGATGCGATAAAAAAATTAAAAGTTTATGTGTGTAGAAAAGTTTCGATGTGATAAAAAAGTTAAAAGTTTAAAGAAAAAAATTGAAAACTAACGGTTTCTTATAAACGACGTCACAGTATTTCGCAATCGATTTCTCTGTAACAGGTACTCTACAACTGTAGCTTATTAGGTAGCAGGGGAAGAACAAGTTTGGCACTTGGGGTCTATTTGGTTCTCTACCCTACTAATTAATTGGTAGTGCTAAAATCTAGGTAAATTTTGGCACTACCAATTTTTTTGGTAAGGCAAAGTTAGCTAGTCTATGTTTGGTTTAATACCGATATAAAGTCAAAATTTAGTATGAGAGTAAAGAAGATTCTAGAATATAGCTAAATTGAACGTGTGCACTATCAATTGTTTGGCTACAATCTAAACTAGCATATTTACTATTAAAGTTATCAAAATTTTGTAGGGTCACGTTTTGGCTTCAATCCAAAACGGCCCTTGGTTGCTGCACGCACGCACGCACGGCCCATCAAAACAACGGCCGTACGTCCGGCCGGCGCCCAACCCCGTCCATGGTTTTGCTCTTTCGCCTCATTTACGAGTAGCAACAACATCAACGAGGATATTTGGCATATCATTGGGATAAAAACGATCGAAAACGATATTATTTTTTTATAAAAACAATGTTGGTATAGTGGAGAATTTTTGTGCCGTTTACTACTCCTAGCTCCTACTGCCGGTAACAGGGCAACAGCTCGCTCGCGTGGTAGTGTATCATTATCATCATCAATTCGTCGTCAAAACCGTTAGTTATATATAGCTGCGTTCAATTTTTATTGGTAGGTAGTAATCCCTCCGTACTCGTAAAGAAAGTTATTTAGGGTAATATTTAAATCAAATCTTAGGAATATAAATCATGAATAACTCTCAAGTTGCTGAATTTAAAAATGTAAAAAATATATGAATATATTTGTCTTGAAAAATACTTTTATAAAAGTATACATATATCACTTTTTAATAAATATTTTTATAGAAACAAGAAGTTAAAGTTATGTTTTGGAGACCGTGTCGCTGTCCAAAACGATTTCATTTAATAGTACGGACCATGGAGTACTGCCTTATCAGAATTTCATGCGACCGGCCAGTGACTCCCTCCAACGGCCGGCGATATCATACAAACGGCCCGGGCGGTTACTGTATTTCTTCTAGAGAAGGTAGTAAAAGACAACTTGGAATTAATGTTCTTCTTTATCGTCACGACTGGGCATTGTTTAATCTAGTACTCCCTTCGTCCTATAATATAAGGGATTTTGAGTTTTTACTTGCACTGTTTGACCACTCGTCTTATTCAAAACTTTTTTAGAATTATTATTTATTTATTTTTACTTACTTTATTATTCAAAGTACTTTAAGCATAATTGTTTGGTTTTTATATTTGCATAATTTTTTTTAATAAGACGAGTAATCAAACAGTGCAAACAAAAACTCAAAATCTGTTATATTATGGGACGGAAGGAGTATTACTTGCCATCATCTGAAAACGATCGAGGTTGAATGATTTGAAAAACCTTCATTTCGAAAGAGCTTTAGCTTTCGCTTTTGCTCAACTTGGATATCAGAAAGAGTATAATATATCAACTCTAACAAATTTGGCTTATCCTTGTTATTATACATTCGAGCAATTTAAGGATAGAGACTCATTTCCCTTTTATTGCACTGGAATTGAAGTATGAGATTGAATAGGCAGGGATGCCAGCCTGACAAGAGAAAGAATGCCATGATGCTTTGTTGGTCTTTTTTGAGGAGAGAGAAAGATGAGAGATTAATAAACGGTTAAACAGATGATTAATTAATTGTTGGACTTTTTATAAACAGATGATTTTTCCTGCAAAGATTAATAGACGGTTTAATATACAACTTGATAACATTTATGCCATATTATACAGTTATCTATATAATCAAGTCATTAATAATTATAAGAATCTATTTAAGTTTGAGAGGGGAACCATATAAATTATTATTGTGTGGACTTAATATGCTTAGAGACAACAACTTATAAGCACATTTTATGATTAAAAATAAGATAATGCCCCAGGGATTCTGATAGGGGACGTAATTAAGATATACCGGGGTTAGAAAATACATGAGTTGTGATATATGCAGGGCTCGTGAAAGCCGGGCAAGAAGTGATGGTCATTTGGTTGGGTGGCACGGGTCAATCTAATACCCCAAATTGCTTCTGGCACATGACGCATGGCTATCGATTATCACGGTTCACGTTGGCATCCATCCAGCCAAATCCATCTAACACGTGAAAAGTCACTCTTGGAAAAAAGTAAGCAAAACTAAATTTTCCGAAAAAATTACTACCAATATCATAGGCAGGTAAAAACAATTGTTACTCGTAAGCACACTACTAGCTTACCTTTATCATGTCCATTTATATAGTTGTCCTCACCACGATCATATATATCACGTTATAAGCTTCTATGTCTTTTAAAAAAACCTAACATAAATACTACAATAATCTAATATGAAAAGCTATAGGCAAATATAATTCGTGATATCTACTTATATTTAAATGTGAGCTCTTACACATATTACATTCTCAATTACTGGAATATATTTTACTACTTGATGAAAATTAGAAACTTCAAAAATATCCAAACAAAAATATACCACAATGGTTCAATAAATAAAAGGTGAACCTTTATACAAACAACACTCATACAATACTACAAGTATTTCAATATGGCGTATATAATCTAAAAAAGAAAAATCTAAGATACTGTATAAACAATAGCAGCTTCCAAACGGCAAAGAATATCTTAAAATGGCAAAGGATATCTTAAAAAAACGGCAACTAACTTCAAATAATACATCCTTCAAACAACAAAAGATATCTTTAAAAACGGCAACTAACTCCAAAAAATAACAAACAGAAAACAGAAAGAGAAATGAAAAAAAAAACAAAAGAAAGCAAAGGAAAGTCACCGCCCACCACGCCCTCCAAATAAAAGCGAGCGCCCAACCCAACGACACCAAAATACACACACACACAAAAAAAATCCAGAAAAAAAAACCGCACGAAAAAAAAAGAGCGCCCTCATCACGGCGAGGAATTCCCACCTCCTATCTCTCTCCTCCTCCTCCTCCTCTTCTCTCTCCACGCACAAATCTCTCTCCTCCTCCGCTCCCCCACGCCGCACGCATTGCCGCCGTGGGCTCACCGCCGGCGAGGGCGGCCGCAGAGGAGGAGGGGAGCGGCGGCGGCGGCCAACCCGGGCGGTGTGGGTAGCATGTGTGACCTTGTGGCCCGAACGGGTCGGCATCAGCAGCGGTACGAGGATGGCCGGCGGCTGGTGGCCGGGTGGGTACAGCTTCCTCCCTCTCCATCGAATTATTGTTGCTTTTTTTTAATTTTTTTTTCTCCTTGATTTGATTTGGGGTGGATTGGATTGCGGCGATGGCTACGCGCGCGTGCGGTTCATTGCGCCTCTTGACCTAACCTAATGCGCGTGTACGAGGCGATGGCATTGGTCGGATTGGGTTCTATGAATTGGATCGGTGGGGATGCCATCCCTGGGTGTGGAATGTTTCTCGCGGCGATTTGCATATGCTTTAATTTTTTTTCTCTCTCTGGGAAACAAGCACTATCACCAACTAGTAAGATAGCTTGATGTGTGTGAGCACTTAGCTAAGAATCTTAGTTGCAACACCTGATGATAGCGACATCATTATTCTGCGGCCCATTCCGCGGTATATCCATGAGAATGATTTTTAGCAGCATGTGTTAAGCCTATTAGGAATGGGGTTATCCTCCAATGTCAAGATTGATGGATGTGAGTTTAGTTTGATAGATACATTTCTCAGTGTATGTCGATGTCGCTGCATATTGCTGGTTACGAAAAGGTCATGAATCATTATTGGTAGTCAAAGCGTTTGTTCCTGATAGGTGACCAATTTCTGTTTTTAGGCTTACTCTTAGTTAAGTTCTTCTGTTTTTCTAAGCTAGGGAAGCATTTCTGTGCATTATGGCATGGCAAGCTAACGAGTTTGTGGTGCTATTATCTGTTGCACTTCTCTTAGGCTGGTGGATCAGTACTCAGGATGAGATTTTTGTAAATATTAAGGAATTATAGTAGCTAACCTGAAAATGTTAATCAGGAGATGACAGATGGGGCAGCTAATCAGATCTAAACAAAGGAAATATAACTATAGAGTGGGGGAATGAAAGCTAACCATATTTTCATCGATAATATGTCTTGATATTTTAGTTATTGACCTTCCCTAGATCTTTCCTTTTCATAGTACAAAAAAATTCTGCTTATGCTTGTTGAGATGCAGGTTGGGAGGTGCACCTACAGCATTTATTGGCAGGAACTAGCTCAAGTAGCACCTTTTACATGTATATACATTATTGTGTTGTAGGTTAGTGTTGCAATATTTGTTGCCTTAATATATATATGCACACTCTAAGGACTACTGGTTTCGGCTCTTTCTGTGACAGACCTAGTTCTTCTCTGGATACGATTTTACCATGTTGGAGAACTATATCAATTCACATGTATTCAGTATTTTTCTTTTACATCTTGTTAGCTTGTTTATGTTGGACAAAAAACCTTTGTGAATCATGTGGCCGTGCGTAGAAGTTACTAATAACATATTCTGTTTCTATGTAGTGGCTTATTTACACATTCTCTGATTAAGTTCATTATCTCTACAGATGCATACCGTTCAGGTATAGAACTAGTAATGATGAAACTTCTGATGATGAACCGAAGAAAATTGTTGAAGTTCTCATGATAAACTCTCAAAGTGGTCCAGGTCTCCTGTTTCCAAAGGTAATGTTCCCATCTGAATTAGAATCAAGAAATACATGATGATGAAAAAAATGTTTATAAATTGTGTACGCATAAGTTTGCCAAACTCTTTATGGGCGGTTAGTTTACATGAAATTGCAAGAAAAAAAATCAAATATAAATTTTGATGATTTATGATCTAAATTTGGATTGGCCTTTACTTGATATGAATTGCTATAAATTTACAAAAATTGCCTGTTTTGACATGCTACACTGAAGCGCTACTGCACTATATACCCTATACTATGAGCAACATATTGATATTTCAGTTAGCCCATAGGTGGAAAAGTGTCGCTCTTGGCATTTATCATGTTCTTTCTGCCTCTCAGATGAATCCATATGAAGTTTGAATGAAATGAGATGCAGGTGTAAACATTGCATATTAAGAAATACCAAAGTCCATTGCAAATTATGTTTTGTACTTTTTACTGATTTAGCTTGATAAGCTGGCAATGCATACATAAAGTATGTCTGAGAAATTTCTTTCACCTACTTTTCTAGATTCTGCATAACATCAGATTTTGTTTGTTGGATAAATGTTACATTACCATAGTACTAGGTGGAAATTTTGTTATCTGTGTCTTCTTGTTTCAGGGAGGATGGGAGAATGATGAAACTGTTGAGCAGGCAGCTGCTCGAGAGGCTGTAGAAGAAGCTGGAGTTCGTGGAGATATAGTGGTAAGATACATCAGAGATGGTGTTTTTAAATTTCTACTACTTTTACATATGTATTTTATCTACTTCAGGCTTGCCAAGTGTCAGAAACATATTTGCATGTGTTTTTCTCTTACATAACCGTCAAACTGGTACCGTATGTTTTGGATTGTGATGCAGACTCGTATTCACTGTGTTTGATTTATCTTCTTCAATATATGCTTAGTAAGCCGAGCCTAAGCTTGATTCTTCTAAACTGCTAATGTAGATCAACCAGCCTCAATCTTTTGGAACCTGCTTTTTCCTGAAATATTGAGTTCATGGCTATCGTGAGATGTCTGTCTGCAACAAACCATCTTAGTTATTAACATCCAATTTGAAACAATTATGTTGGGAATTCAATTACTTAGGAACTGGCAGCTACATTTCTTATGCATTATCCTCAGAACCCATCAAATTTATTTTCTTGATCATTTTTTCTTGGGTTGCATATCACTTGCATTGGAATATTGTTGTTCAGTGATTCACGGTATTAGTCAGAGCACAACCACACTCACAATATTGTTTTTAGTTTGCTGCTGCATTGACATATGTTGTACTCACAAGACACACCATCCGCACCAAGTATTGTAGTAGGTGCTAATTGTTAATGCTGTGTGACATGTACTGCGGAGTACAGACATGGCGCAACTGAGAAACAAACTATCTTGTGGTTAAAAGGATACTTGTTTGGTTTGCATTGTGTGTAATTAGTATCATCATAGATTTTATGAAGATGTGCAAACTAGTCATACTTTCATAGTGGAAAAACCATAAGATGCAAATTTTAGTAGTGCTTTGGTGGGTCATAAGATGTGATGCGCAGCTAGTTCATTGGTTTAGTTGGTTATGTTGTTTCCATCGTTTGAGTTTAATATGGTATGTGCTTTGATTTCTCTGACTTGGTACTCTTTTAGTCAAGAATCAGTTGCAACTAACGTGTTCAGCATTTTATAGTGTTGGATACCAAAATCAAAATAACATTGTTGCACTATGAAATTAGAATGATTATAGCTTTTCTAGGAGGGTTATTAAATATCTCTAAAACATGTTTCTTCAGCGTAGATAATGTTTTCCTTGTCCTATCACTGCTTGATAATTAAGAAAATACATGCTTATAAATTGTTTCACTTGTGTATTTTGTTCTGCCGATAATACATGGTTGTGAAATGCATACATCACAAAAGGCATTTATTTTGCTTCAGCTTATAATGCTATTGTTTCTCTGGACCAGCAATTTCTGGGTTTCTACGACTTCAAAAGCAAGACGCATCAAGATGCGTGCTGCCCCGAGGGTATGTGCAGAGCCGCGGTGTTTGCGCTGCATGTGAAGGAAGAGCTGGACTCATGGCCTGAGCAGAGCACCCGCAGGAGGACCTGGTTGACAGTTCCTGAAGCCACGTCGCAGTGCCGGTATCAGTGGATGCAAGAGGCTTTGCTTACTGGCTTCTCTGACTGGCATGACAACTGGAGCAAAGGTGGCGGTGGCGACACCAACTATGACTCTCTCTAGTTGCAGAAGGCATCCACAGGAGTTCTGGTTTTGTTTATCTTCTTTTAACTCTCCCTAGGCTCCAACTTTGCAGAATGCAATAATACAATGTACACTTGTTCTGATACTAGTAGGTGGTCTTTGACCCTTCATTGCTATCTAGCGTAGTATATCTCATCGAAGACGGGAATTCTCACAACTTTTAAGTGTCAATTCTCGTGTCTATTGTTCCCTCACCACCTATCAAGCTCAATTACTTTATCCTGGTGAGCATTTTGTACGTCACTGCTCCAGATTACGGAGCTGCATACGCTATGTATTAACTTGACCACACCTGAAATCAAAAGGTATTTCTTGGCTCGAATGAGCCACGGTGGCTATACATTTGGCATCCAGCGCCTTAATCATACTGACCATTATTGTTTTATCTTTGCTATTAATCAGTGCCATTAAGTGTAATCAATTGTGAGACCCTTAAAAACAAATTGGAGAGTAGAATCTGATTTAATTTGTCATCCATCAATTGTCATATCAGTTAGTAGCATCCACACAAGGGCGCTAGCTGAGGAAAGGGGAAAAAAGAAGTACTTTTGATTTTAATTTGTCATGCATCAATTGTCAGATCAGGTATTAGTACAGTATCATCCACTGGCTGAAAAGGAAGAGCTCATCATGTGCTATGGACTAATCAAGAGATCAGGCAAATGTGACTGACCCAACCGATTACGTAGCAAATATTAATCACTGCTCCAAATTGGTGGGGTGAGAGAGGCTCGAACTCTCGACCTCAGGATCACTCGCTTATTTTAGCTATGAGACCTACGCGCTAGCCAACTGCGCCACCACCCCTTTGTGTGCTAATGGTCTCTGCATCAGCATGTACCATTGTTCTTAATTTTTTTTGGTACAATCTGTCCATTCTCCATGTTTGGACTATGACAAATTTGCAAGTGAAATATATTGAAAAACGCAAAGGAATCCATGTATGCAACTATACCGCTGTACTTACTAGTGTGTAAATTATTTTACTTTTTTTTTCATGAACGCGTAAAAGAATTGCACGCCAATATATTAGGTAAATTATTTTATGATTATATTTTTTTGTCGGATCGTTGAGAAAGAAAAGCCCGGACTAATTTTATTAAGATTGAGATAAGGTAAAATTTAGAAAATAACTAGAAGATGTAAGTAGTGGCACATATCCAATAGTTGTGAAATTATAATAACATCTCTCTAAATAGCTGAATAGTAATAATATATTTCAAAACCATAAAAAATATAATGATATGAATCTAATTAACCCAACATTTTATAACAAACAAGGTTGTTGAAATACACTATCACACCTCATCCTCTTAACACACACTAAAAGAGAGACGTAGGAGTCTCCATGCAAATCGAAAGACGGCACATTATTATTATTATTATTATTATTTTGTTCTTTTGCAAAAGAAGGGTGCTTAAGTATGTAAGGTACGCACATTTTAATTTACTGCTGCCACAATAATCTAGACTTGTACCTTGGAAGATCGATAGGTCAAGCCATCCTTTGAATATGTTCTTCGCATGCATCATCAGTATATGTAGTTTTGTTGTACACTGCCACTACTTGCACTTGCATATATAAAACATGCAAGATATATATGATGTCACATCAATAATCATATATGGCATATGCATGGTCCTTTATAAGTACTACTTATGTTCTTAAGCATGCATGTCCTTAGAAGGCCGAAAAGGAGACATTTGACGAATCATGATTAAGTTCTTTCGCTCATGATAATCGATCGACCGTCCTACGTACGAAGGAAAACAAAAAACAACTGTGGATATGATGCGAAAGCTAGCGCAAGAAAAATTCCTGTTACCTTTAATTGTTTTTTTTAATTTTCCATCGAAATCCGCCGAAAGATCAGCATGTTTTCCCAATTATAAACGACTTTCTCGTGACCGATCATGATTAGCCCCCTTAAGCGTATCTTTCACTTGAATAATTGCAAGCACAATTCCTTGCTTGATGCGCTAGGACTCCAGCTCTCTCTAGCATTTCTAGCTAGCTAGGCCCCCTCTTGTGGAAAGAAAGATGAACACTTCTAAAAAAATGAATTTTACCGCCCCTAATATATAGCGAATGGTAATTAAAAAGAGGGATTTTGACATTTGGTGAATGCATGCATGCACTCAGTGCATATATTATCCATTATTTGTTATATATATCCTATATATATGTGTGTATATCAGCTTATCAAATTGATCACTTAGGTTAGGTTGCCATAGTGAAATTTGGATGCCAATGGTAATTAAAAGAGAGATTTTGACATTTGGTGAATGCATGCATGCACTCAGTGCACATATTATCCATTATTTGTTATATATATATATATATATATATATATATATATATATATATATATATATATATATATATCCTATATATGTGTATATCAGTTTATCAAATTGATCGCTTAGGTTAGGTTGCCATAGTAAAATTTGAATGCCAGCTAGAGCTAGATCGAGTAGCTAACTGCTCCTAGTCGTTTGGATGCAATGTGTTTCACTGTTGTTGGAATCTGAATGGGGAATCAAAGAGAAAGGCTAGGAGATCACTGAGCCTGGTGGTGCCGTGTTCGGCGCGGGTTTAGTGCATGATGTTATCTCATTTTCGACGTTGCGATATATCATTCATTGTATTCAAACAAGCCCTAAATTGAAGTGCGGGGAAGTACTATTTTGAGGTTTTAAGGGGATATCTCCCTACACACTACCTGCCACCCAAATACCTTTGAAATTCATGAACAAAGTACATATCGACATATAGCATGTAAAAGGTCTATGCGCATATCTCAAAGCGCACCACGACATAATCGAAGGGTAAAAAAAGAAGGGGGCTATTTTATTATTTACTTATTGAGGTGTTAAAATACACTCATTAAAAGCATGACAAATTTGATAAGACGGGATAGATGAGGTAGCTACTAATTTGGATTTGCAAATCATGGACAACAAAGAAGAAAGGAATGTCCTCGTGATAATAATTGCGTGAAAGGTTTGGTTAGTTGGAGAAAAAATGGGACAAAAAGTTTCAAACAAAATTTCTATAAAGGGATTATATGAAGGCCATATAATTTTGAGTGGGTTTGACTAATCTGAGCCATCCGTGTGCATATATCCCTTGATCCGACGACTAGATATGCCTTTCTACCTTGGTACCCTAGGAAGCATCCTATCGATATTTTGTCAAGAGCTGTATACACTGTAGCAGAAACGACACCACTCTGCATACATGTATATTTCTCCAAGCAAATGCCAACATCTGTGTTTCATTGGCCCCTCACTGCCTACATGAAAAAAATATGCCTTTTGTTTTGCAAGCTTGGTACATTTGATTTCTTGATGGCATTCTACATCTCAATCAGTATGTTCAATCAAGAGGTCGTTTCCCAAGTTTCTGATAAGATTCGCTCCATGATCTGATTGCCCCAAAGCAGCAGCCAGTACTAAGTCTTTAACCGATTCCATGCCATTGCCAGCGAGTGGAAGCCACTGAATTCGATTCCTATCACCCCAAATAGATTGCATATGCATCAGGTGCATCTCATCAGATCATCACTGAAGAAACACGACGCAACAGTGTACTGCATTTTCAGAGAACTGAACGTCTGGAGTACTACAGCTGCAACAAATGCAGAATGCACTTCAATTCCATTTGCTTGAGTGTACAAACAAGTGCTTCGATGCAATTGATACCAAATTGGTGCAAACTCGATGGCGTATAATAGATTTTCTCACGCTCTAGACTTCGGCTCGGCATTAGTGCACAGTTCTCAGCTGCTGTCCAAATTTAAAAAAAATCATGATAATTTTTTTTGTTTTAAAAAATGGACTTGTAGTACTAGTGGTGGGACAAGTTTGAGATGCTGGTCAAATTTCAGAAAACTCATGCATGTGAGACTAGAATGGTGCAGAGGTACATTCCAAGCGCAAACATATATTGGGTGACAATCCATATTATTCTCCTAAAAGAGAAAACAAAAACATGTAAACTTCCTCCTTTATATTATATTTCCATCAAAGTGGAATATTTAGGATGATATTTAATTATCACCAAAGGCTACCACAGCATATATATAGTTAATCCTACAGATTGAAATATGGAAAGATACATATATACATGCGGTCTATTTTTGACTTAAATTGCTACATATAGAGGAGGACCCCTCCGTGCACCGAGAGAAAAGAAATGTAAGAAAGAAACTAAAATATGAACGGTTCCGTGTGTTAGTCAAAGCCAGAATCTGATGCACAGCAAGAACCCTAAACAAAGGAGATGGATTATATTTAGCATTTATTTTCCTTTTTAAAATATCAAGAATAACCATTGCAGAAAGAGAGCGCATGCAAGATAAGAACGCTGATGACAATGGTAACGTTGATACTGTAATTATTATGTAAAAAAGACCCGGCAAAAATTATCAGGTAAAAAAAATTCAGGCATTAGCCTGCATAACAAACTCGAGCCTACAACTGCAGATGAACTGATGGCAAGGGAATATGGATGGATGAACACAGAAGAAGGCGCCTTTTAACATTTCTAGACTCAAACAAATCCGAGTGCTGTTCCTTTTTATTCAGTGGAAGAATTTGTACCTTCTCTGTGATTCACCACGCACACAAACTGTTATCCTCGTTTTGTCTAATTCGTTTGTCGTATTAAAAAAAACCCAAGGTTTTATTTATTTATTTTATCCTATTTTCACCCTCTAGTTCACGTAAAAATTCCTCTGGTCTTCGCTAGTTTGAGCGCAGAAGCGGCATAAATTGCATTGGCATGGATGAATGAGATTAAATCCACTCATTGAATAAATTGATCCTCTTAATAGTATTTGAGCTCACCTCTTAAAACATTTTTAAGTGTTATTTTGATATCATAGTAAGTTGTACTTGTTCATCATCACAAAGTTAAATTCTGCAGAAAGGAAACACATATCACAATTCACAAGCAAAACACAGTACTGTCCTTGCATCTTTGCAATTTGAAATTAATGCATGGTTGGATTTATTTTGGTTCAAACTGACTAGCTGGCTGGTTTAATTAGTTTAACATGTTAAACTGCTTTGTACCTAGCGAAGCAAGGTCCTAACCGCTTTCTCTGATCCCTAATCAAAGCCCAGATGTGTCCTATTGTTCTTTTCCCTTTACCGGAATAAATGCGTGACTATCGTACCAAGCCTCGGCACGCCTGAATATGACAGGTAACTGCAAAATTCTTCTTCAGAACACTAGAAAACAGCCTGATACTCTGAGCACAACTACAAAAGAAGAATTAGAATCACCTAATAGTTTATGTCATCACACCTGTAGATAGATTAAATTTTAAATTTTCATCAAGGCATAGCATATCTGTAGACTCTAGGGCTCAAAGGGACTAGTAGAATAACCAGAAACTGAACACTCATGTACAATGTAGGCAAAATTAAAGCAGCCAATTGTTCATGAACTCTTGTCTTGATGTCTTTGTTTGGATAGGAAGAAATTAGTATAGAAGTGCTTAATTAGTACTAAGAATCCTTGAATTCAGTGTGCTCCTGGCTTTAGCCAAAACCGAAAGGTATTCCTTGAGTACCCTATAAGATCATGGCAAGTGTAGAAAAATAAACACTTCAGAGGAAACTCCATTGCAATCTCCAGCCTACCACCACAATGAGAATATATCATCACAAATTGACAAGATGGACGGTTCAGATCCTCTTAGCACGAGAAATCGTCATATACTCCCTCGTTTTACTTGTGTCCTAAATCAAACATTTCTATCTTTGACTATTAATTTATAGAAATTTATAAAGTCTAACATCATAAAATTTATGTTTTTAGATTCATCATGAGAAATACTTTCATGATATATAATCCAATATGTTGTTAAACTATACGGATTTTTAAAAATTGATGATCAAAGGTAGAAATGTTTGACTTTGGACGAAACTAAACGACAAGTAGTTTGGAATGGACGGAGTATTTTGCAACAAAACTAATGATAATTTCTCTTTCAGAAAAGACAGTATGATGACAAAATGAGGAATATTTATCTTCCTGAACCAGAGAGACTACTCATGGAATTAGCAGCTAGCTAGGATGCTAGCTAGTCACCTGCAAAGAGCACCCAAAGCATGAAATACGCCCATGGTTTTCAGGCAGATCAATTTGGAATTATCTAAGATACTGCAAGTGATAAGAAAGGCTAATGCTAGCAGCATAATGGTCTACAAGAGTTCTTTTACTGTTTGTCGTTGCATACATAGTATAGCAACTAATCAGGGTAATTTTTCTCTGATAGATTTGCCGGCCCGGCGTTTTTTATTTTTTCTCTGATAGACATGAGAAAAAACCAAGGCTTGCATGCCCATTAGTTTTAATTACCGCCGTTGATTCTGAAGAATTAAGCAGTTGCACGGGCTTTTCCTCTTTTTGTCACAGAATTCTTTTGCCAAGTGGAAGTGGAATCTGATGCAACTAAAACGTAAACGGTATGGATGATAATATTGATATCAATGAGATTATTGAAGCAATGACATCTTTAATTTGGTCGTATTTGCACCGCCAAAAATACATATATAGGTGTGACGTTTATAAGTTCAATTAAACAAGCCTAAACTGTTATGAACTTTGCATTAGAAAATGAAATGCAGCTGCTTTATTTTATTTTAATTTTTGTCTCGGAAGGTTTGAGAGATAAGAAATGGTTGTCAATCATTTTTGGCAAATAGGGCTAAATAATCAGGTAGGTTTAGTGCATATGTAGATGTTTGGTTGCCCTACTACTTTGTTGTCCCTTGTGAAGACCAACTTTCTTTTTAATTACTCTTTGAGAAGTACAATTCAATGATGCATTCTCAGTTTAAAAAAATTACCAATTTGGAATTATATATAACTTTTCGGACGCATGCCTGCACTAACTACCCTATTACCTTAAGGCTAGAGGACCTTGAGCATTCGAACCTTTCCTATGATGCTAATATAAATTAAGTACACTCAAACTATCACCAAAAGCAAGAGACAAATGCTAGTGTCACTCATAGAAAACAAAAAGGATCAGTATATAGCTAGGTGATGGGATTCTTTTGACCATTGCTTTAAGACAAGATTAGGGGCCACAGGGCTCATTCTTAGAGGTTTTTGCTAGAAGTGGCACTGTGTATGAACGCTAATTAAGAATAGCTTATAATGGAAAGCCATGGCTTTAATTGTATAGATTGCATTTCATGTCCTTGGACTATGTGTGGTCCTCAAGTGCTGAGAGTATATTAAATGTACTGATACTATGTCCTTCTCATATCTGCAATGAATACATCCAAAATACTAAAATAAGGCTTAATTTTAGTATATCCTAAAAAAAGGATAGCTTAACTTACTCAATTGTTCCACTTGGAATTTTCCTTGGGTAGTTTAGATGTAAGCAAGGATCAAACCTTGGAAGATGAACAATGGCATGCATGGTTAATATCACCATTGAAAGATAAGTTCAGTGAACAGAACAACTACCTTTATTACAGTTACAAAAGACAAAACTAAGATATGCTTACCATGGATTGCTAAAGTAAGTTACTGCCTTCAGTCAAATGATTAGTGGACTAGGGTTGAAAGTTGACGTCAGCTGGTTTTCTTGCAGGCATTCTGAATTTTCTCTTTGAAAAGAAGAGGTAAAAGCTTTTGGGCAACAACTCAACAATTATATAATATAAACAGATAAGATGTGGAGGAGCTAATGATTGGCTGACTGTTGCATGAAAGGAAATATATGAAATTCGTGGTAACCATATTTATACAAGTCATTAACAAATATCATAATCTCTTTTCAACAAAAAAAGCAAAAGGAAAGAGATAAAGTAAAGCACCCAAATGCATTGATGTAACTGAACATAAGTTGTTTGGCAAATGATAAAACTGTTGACTGGTTTTGGTTGATCTGTGTGCTATTAGTCATTTTGGAGCTCTAATCACAAATATTAGTGCCATCTAACTAATAATATTATTAATATAATATTTATTGCAAAAGACGCTAGGGCCCAATTGTTAAGTGGTTATTCGGCTTATGCCACTTGATGCAGTTTTTTTTTTCTAAACTTAATTATAATTTGGTGGTGTACTATGAAATAAATAAACCCATTCCCCTAAAAGTTTTGCAAGCTCTAGTGTTGACTTTAAACCTTTATTAAATGTGATATTTTTCTCATTGCTCAATGATCAGCTTGTTAGCTATTTGCTGATTCCTTTCGTATTTTCCTCCTTTTGTTTTGTTCACCATGTTGCAAGTTGGACTCTGTATTTGAGAAGAACAGTTTGACTTTCTCCTTCAGAAAAAAAAAAGCTTTTGACTTTGTTAATTATTATTGGCAAATCAGAATGCTATAGAAAACATTGTACAACAGAAATTATTACTGATCACTCATGTATCAGTAGAGATATGTAGGCAGTTGGTCAAAGAGCCAGTGTTCATAGAAGAATCTTCCAAAAAAATGAAAACAAAAACAGAGTCGTTGCATTCTCTGTCAAGTGTCAACCAGTTCTAGGTTTGATTTGGGGAAGGAAATGCAGGAACTGCACATTGACCCTTGACCAAAGATTTCATTCCTATCGCGATATTCAGATCTTATTCTCTGATCATCCACTTGACATAATTTGATAAATTGGTCAAATAACTCTGATTCGTTCATTCGTTTTTGTTAATCCATGTAGAAAAAAAATGTAGCATCAAGAAATGCCATTTTGACTGTCTAACTGTAGTAGGATTAAGTCAAAGTTATCATTTACCTGACCAATTTTACTATTTCATATAAATATTTGTTCATGTTGACCTTCTGAATCTTATATAATATTCTGAACCGATGATTGCTGAGTCTTCTGGTCTCCATACTATCCAGAGAGATCACCACTGCATTCTACGAAAGAGTTTGACAATGTTCAAGTGAACTCTAAAATATGTGTTAAATCAAGCTTATCCTTGTAAAAATGTGCATATGCATTCAGAATGTGAAGTTGACTTTGAACAAGAAGATGATGGGCTTGACCTTTGACATGCAAGCACTGCCCTAACTAATACCCAGTTCCCAATCATGCACGAGAGTGTCTCCATGACCAAGAAACAAGACTTGGGAATATGATGTCAAAGAAGCAACCAGAACTGATGCAGATGCCAACTTGTATCCACAGACAGATACAGCATAGAGCCACACATTGCACAAGAGGAATGACTGGCTGACTGCCACTAGTTTTCCAGGCCAAATGTTGCATGTATCACCTGTCATGTTGATTGGCCAGGAGTTTTCTGAATGAAATAGAGAAAGTAAGAAAATAAAAATTATAAATACAGACAATTTATAAGTTTTTATAGGGAATGCGCAAAAGGATTGCGCGAATTTTTTTTTTGACACAAAATTGCGCGAATTATAAGTTTTCATGTAAAGAAAAATTAGTATTGCGCGCCACCGAGTTTTACTCATACCCACAACATGTCACTCAAAGTATGCGGTCTCGAATTAAGAACAAGGACAGTGTAGAGCATAGTCATAGACTATTGAAGTGCGCGGCAAGTGAGATTCTCAATAGCAAAGCTCAGTGAAGACCTTGAAAAAGTTGATATATTATGATAAAGACTGCCAAATATTCCCCTTTCACAAGATTCCTTATTTTGTTTTTCCCCCTTTTTCTTTGCAAGGTCTCAACGATTTAATTATTTCAGCTCATGATTTCTATGTTACAAGGAGAGGCTATTACATCAATCCCCCAATTAACATCCAAGTCAATACTTTTTAGTTTTTACTCCTACTGTTACACACCCAAAATCAGAGGAGAAACCAAAAAGAAAAAAAAAACTCAAAACTCATAAGTTACACTCTCGCGCGCAATTCATCAATCTCCTCATATCACAAAGAAACACAGCAAAAACAAAAAGGAGTCAACCAGTTACCAGTATATGAACAATCTTGCTTTGCATTGCAATTGGCAGGTCATCGAGATGTTGACCGCAGAAGCAGCAGCCTTCATCGTTTGATCCGACTGACGAGCTCTGAATTTGATCGGCAATGGCGATTGGCAGCAGCCTGAATGTCTTGAGAGTGGCATGGTGCTCTGCGTTTTTGTGTTTGGTCATGTATGTGTATGTAAGTAGGTTGGTGCCTGCGCTTCTCAGATTGCAGCGGCCGCCGCCATGGCGGCGGCCGCGGAGGCGAAGACGGAGATGTTGCCTGAAGTGGCCTTGCCGGCGGCGAAGAGGGGAGGTTTGCCGGCGGCGATGCTGCTGCGTTCTTGGTCCTCGAAGAGGAATGACCGGACGGCGTCGATGCACGGCGCGGCGACGAGCCGCTGCCACGCGTCGTCGGCGGCGTGGCCGCGCCTCCTGAACACCTCCGTGGCGTCGACGCGGCGGGCGCGCCACATGCGGTCCAGCCTCTCGATCTTGCGGTGCTGGCGGCACGCGAGCCGGAACGTGTTCAACTTGATCTCCGCGACGGCCGCGGCGAGCATGCGCGCCCGCTCCTCCTCGTCGGCGCCGTCGCCGCGGGAGCGGAGGTACGCGTCGAGCTCCGGCACGCCGATGGCGCGCCAGATGCCCCTGGAGTAGTCGGTGCGGCGCGGGTCGAACGCTGCGGCCACCTCCCGGACGAGGCCTCGCCGGCACATCTCGTCGACGCGGCGGGCGACGAAACCGCGGAGCACCTCGAGATCTACGTCGACCCAGAGGAAGCAGCACTCGTACCGCTCCCGGAACGCGCGGCCGTCGCCTTCGACGAGCTCCTCGACGTAGGAGTTGGACCCCCCGGCGATGATGGGCAACCTCCCCCTCTCAACCGCCCCCGCCGCGGCGCGCGCCGCCTCGCGGCGGAAGTCGGCGGCCGTGAACTCGTCGTCGGGGCGCGCCACGCTGATCAGGTGGTGCGGCACGCCGGCGCACTCCTCCTCGGTCACCTTGTTCGTCACCACATCCAACCCGGAATGTATCTGCATCTTATCGGAGTTGATGACCTCGCCGCCGAACCGCAGGGCGAGGTCGACGGCGAGGCGTGACTTCCCGGTGCCCGTGGCGCCCATCACCACGACGGCCTTGTGCTTGACGCCGGCGCCATGCCTCAGCACGAGCGGCGCCACCGGGACGGCCGCGTCGAAGCGCTCCCTGTCCCTGATGACGGTGGTGGTGCGCGGCAGCAGCGTCAGCGAGGCCGGTGGCGCCGGAGCGGCGGCGACCGCCATGTACGCCTGCATGGTGATGATGGTGGTGATGCTCGCTAGGTGTTCGACCGGTGTTGATCGCTAGCTCAGCTCGCGCGCGGGCGGTGGCGCGTGCGCTTGGGTAGCTAGCTGAGGTGGATTTTGCGATGGATGCTGTGGAGGAAGATGAGGCTGGCAGTGGGGTATTTATAGGGGGGGAGAGGGCGCTCTGGAATGTGAAGGGCGATCACCCACACTGTGGGTTGGAGGACGCGGCGCCTTGCAGTCGTTAGGGGGAGAGGGAGTTTAGTGATCATGCTGCAGTGCTCTGATATGCATTTGATAGTGCAGTGACAAGAGGTATGTGGTTTCAACCCTAAAAATCCCGCGTTCAATTCCCAATACGCTAATAATTTCTTCTTAAAATAAATGTTCGGAGGAAAGTTTAAATATAAATTATAGAGATAAGATAAAATTCTAGAGATAGAATATTATTATAGATAAATGTAGTTCTAGAAATAAATTTGTTTTAAAATTTGTATTGTACTCTAAATCTCTATCTCACATATACTCTATATATATCTGTGAGAGAGTCACTACAATACAACAGAATACAACAAATTATATTTTCCACATGCACGATTGCCAAAACATTTCTTTAGTTATAGTTTTCTATTATAATATATATACAGTGAATAAATAAATATTTACTTTATTGATAGTGCTTTTTAAGAGTAATCTATGTATGCCGCTGGTGTAGTTATTGATAGTGCAAAATTCTAAAAGAGACCTTAACGTCCTTAACCTTGTTTAAAATGTTAGGAATATGAAACCGGATGGAGTAATAGTTCTTGTACGATAAAGGATGCATGCATGAGACGTACGCTGCGCCTGTGCGTCGAGGATGCTGACCTTGGTGGAGTGCTCCGCAGCGGCTGATGAGGATGGCGTCATTGTGAGCATTCAGAAGAAGCACGCCGCGGACGCGCGCGGCCACACGCGGCCACCTGGGGTTTTCAGATAATATGCCTAAATTTTGTCAATAAAAAAAACTCTTGCTGTCTGATCAAGAGTAAAAGTTGTTATCATTAGATAGGCCAAATTTATGCGCTTACAATGATTTTTTTTTGTCTATCAAGTTATGAATTGTCCTAGAGAACATAATCGTGTTACACATGAGCTTGCTAAAATTGACGCATCTCTAGGTCTACAAAGTCACTTTGTTTGGCTTGAAGGATTCCCAGACATTGTTTGTAATTTGGTACTCCCTCCGTCCCACAATATAAGAGATTTTGAGTTTTTGATTGCAACGTTTAACTACTCGTCTCATTCAATTTTTTTTTTGCAAATATAAAAGACGAAAAGTTGTGCTTAAAGTTCTGTAGATAATAAAGTAAGTCACAAATAAAATAAATAATAGTTTCAAAAAAATTTGAATAAGACGAGTGATCAAACGTTGCAAGTAAAAACTCAAAATCTCTTATATTATGGGATGGAGGGAGTAGCTAGCAATTCAACTGTGTTGGGCTATCTGAACAATGGAGTTGTCTTATTCTTTTTTTAAAAAGAGACTAGCTTGAGCAGACAAATCAATTTAGAGATTTTTTTTGAGGCGAGGTATATAGAATTAGTTTTTTTAAGAAGTATATTTGTGTAGTAAATTTTCAAAAAAGAAACCAAAATGTTAAAATTTCAAACATCTTCTCTTTTGAAATTGGAGACTGGATCGAGATGAGCTGATTGCATTCGACACTGATATGCATATATATGGATGGTAGTTACGTATCCATACAAATGGTGGTGCCCGTGTTCATGATGCCTCTTTTTCTCTCAAAGTGAGTGACACTTTATATATAACGGTACAGTTGACCAGAGGCAACAGACGACGTACTGCTGCCACTGTACTACAACGGATTTTGAGTTTTTTTTTTCACTGTTTGACCACTCGTCTTATTTAAAAAATGGAATTATTATTTTTTTGACTTACTTTATTATCCAAAGTACTTTAAGCATAATTTTTCGTTTTTTATATTTACACAATTTTTTTAATAAGACGAGTGGTCAAACAGTGTAAACAAAAACTTAAAATCCCTTATATTATAGGATGGAGGGAGTAGCACTTTTAACTGTTCCTTTTGGCTCAACTAGATACTGTACTACAGTAGTCAGTACGCGCTATAGTGTTATGCAAACCCAGCCAAGCCGCTACGTACAAATAAAACAGGAATAATTTCGTTGACCTCTCTGATGCATGATCTCTCATAGCTGCTGGAGAAAAGGAGTCAAGTCGTTTTCATGGCGTAGAAAACAGATCAACGACAGGTCTTTTGGCATATACTACTACTACATGTTAACAGTTACCACATCTCAATTAAGGTTGTGTCATCGGTTATGTGTGCCAGTGTGCAACAATCACCATGTCATGCCAGATCGTATCTTTGACTCTGAATGAGAAATAGAGGACAGCAACATAGGACCATGTATACTCTCTCTATCCCATAAAAAACAAACTTAAATACGGGACGTGACATAAATATCAACTGTGTCACATTTCCGTATTATGTTTTTTTATGAAGAAAGTGTATATTAATGAGAAGCTAGTAGCCATGAGCGGAAGATTTTTGTATATAGTCGATAACATATGTACATAGGACCATACTCTCTCCATCGACCATACTCTCCGTTTCAAAAAAAAATAAATCTAATAGAGAATATTATACAGGTGTGTCATATCTGTATGGGACGAAAGAAAGTATATACTATTGAGAAGTTAGTAGCCGCGCGTGGATGCTTTTTGTTGTCGTCGTCGTCGTCTTTCGGCAATGAAAATCTCGATGTACCGTACATAAAGATGTGTATATCCGGGCAGATCGGAAGGTGACATGTCATGGTCATATCAACCGAGATGGCATTCAACAAATCAACTAAGTTGTTGACAATCTTAATTACGTACGTCCAATGTTGACAGAGAGAGGGAGACGTACGTCCTTCACCGTCCCACTAACAATGTTCTTAACTAAATTAACCAACAGAAAAGATACAAATTAAAATGGCAGGCCAGCATGGGCGCTTGATCACTTTCCGGTTCATCGGAATAATCTCCGAGCTGAGATGAAACCGGTGGCTGCAGGGAAGAAGACGACGGGTTGCTTCTAATGAAAAAAAGGCATATAGATATATAAGTATACTTTACATCGTACTACGTATATCCCTCATTCGAAGCCAAAACCGCCATGTAGTACGGTTGGCGCCAACAGGTAGTAAGCACACACTAAGCACATTTGGTGGTAGAAACAAGTATAGAAACAGTCGATCGATATATTCCCCAATTTGGGAGGATATGCAAAACTAAGCTGCCCAATCAGGCAAGCACGTACGCTTATAAAGACTACTCCTACCTTAATTAGTAGTAGTAGTAGTAGGAGTATTAGTAAAGTGAAAGCACTTAGGACACACGCATCAACGCACAGTGGTCATAGCCGTAGTGGTAGTGGTGGTACTATAGTAGTAGTAGCTAGAAGGCTCATGCAGGGGAGGGGAGGAGAGAAGCAACTCAAATGAAAGACTACCTAGAGATTTGAAGTCCTTCCAAATATTTTTAAGAAAAAATTATAAACATGTAAGAGATTGAACACGAGATTTCGAGGTTAAAACAACACAATCTTTTATCTCTATACTTGAGTGTATCTCAGTGTGTTCTACTTTCATCGGTCTCTTTGTTTTTTTCCAAAATGGATTAAAACTCGGTCTCTAAATCCAAATCGAATATACTCAGCAAACCAAATCAAATGGAGTATGGTTGTGTTTAGTTCACACCAAAACTAAAATTTTGGTTGAAATTGGAACGACGTGATGGAAAAATTGAAAATTTATGTGTATAAGAAAGTTTTGATGTGATAGAAAAGTTGGAAGTTTGAAGAATTATTTTGGAACTAAACACGGCGTATATATATATATATATATATATATATATATATATATAGCTCGATGGCTTTGCGTTTTTTGCAGCGGTCCCCGAGGCGCGGGTGGCCGTGGTGCGGAGCGCGTCACCGTCATCCGTTTGCGCGGATCGAATTAATTCCCCCGCGAAACCGGCCTGTCTGATCGGAAACTGGGAAGCCGCGGCGGCGGCGGATATATCGTCTGGTGGTGGGACGCCGACGTTGGATTCTACTACTAGCTAGAGTATATCGATCAATCGATGGATCGATTCATGGGTGATTAGTGGCACTACATGGATAGAACGATAGAAACGACATGACTTTGTAGTAGTAGCAAGCAGCAAGCGCGTGGAGAGATGGAGACGGAGATGGAGATGGATGGTATGGTGGTGGCCGGAGCAATCATGGGATGCGGCGGCAACGAATCGGAGAGCGACAGGGAGCAGCCACCAGGGCTGCAGGACGAGACGAGACGAGACGCCGGCTTAGGCTTGTGGACAGCGTGTGCCCTGCGCCCCTGCCTACCGGTAGATCGTCTCCTGCGGCGTGTGCGTACGTGCTCTAGTTTCAAATTTTGCGACTCCGCGCATTCATCGATGGGATGGATCGATCTGCACGGCCAACTCCACTATTGCGCGCCCAAGCGTCAGGTTCGCCGCACTTCCACATGTACAGTGTACAGGCGCCTACCTATAGAACCTGAGACTGATTGGACCAACGACTCCATCGGCGCCGTGACCACTATCGTGTGTTGTACACCCAACTGATTTATCTACCATTGAGTTGTATACACCAACTAATTTATTTGTTCGGAGAATTTAATATGATAAAAAGGAATGAACGATTCACGTTTATTCTTAACACTGCTCTCGAAATTGAGATATAAGTAAAGTGAGCGTTTAATTTGTCCTACTCCCTCGGTCCCCAGGATATTAACAACTTTTAACAATTTAGTTATTTAGACATGTAACTAAAAGTTGCTAGTATATTTGAGGATGGAAGAGGTACTAACTAGGCCATATTAAGTTGCATGCATCAGCTAGATCACTTGAGAGAGAATTAAATTTGAAAATATACTGTTCATTCAATTTTTTCTCAAGAATATTCGGGATGCAAAAACTTGTATAGAAATATACCGTCGGTGTCGCACAACCATTGCGCGAAAATGACGCAGGAATGACGTCGCGGGTGGTCTCCCGCGGCAATACCGCGAGCCCGCGCGGTTTCGCGGACTGAAAGAGCGAGACCGTTCAAGCAATCAGCGACACTGTCCAATGGGCTCCTTTTGATTAGTAATTAATTATTTGATTAACAATTAATTAATAATTAGTAATTAGTTATCCTGATTAGGGATTAATTAATTATTAAAATCCTTAATCAGGATAATTAAATTGGGAAGGAACGGTTTCGCTGTTTGCTTGAGCGATAGCGCTGATTGTTTGAGCGAGACCGCGTGATCTCGCACTTGTGCGATACCGGTTGCGACGTCATTTTCACGTGCGTAATGGTTGTGCGAGACCGATGGTATATTTGTGCAAAAGATTTTGAATCCCGAATATTTTTTAAAAAAATTGAATGAACAATAAATTTTCAAATTTAATTCCCTGAGAGACGGGCATGCACCTGCACCGTGGTCAAGGTCGGCAATAATACCGCAGGGAAGCATGGACGGCGCACTCGGATGGTTAGGCTCGCAGCTGCAGTGGAAACCATCAGATCACAGGACATTACTCTCGCACAGTTGCACGTTTGGTACTCAAAATAATGTTTGACCGTTCGTCTTATTTAAAAAAAATTATGAAAAAAATAAAAAAAAATTAGTCACACATAAAGTGCTATTTATGTTTTATCATCTAATAGCAATAAAAATACTAATCATAAAAATTTTTAAATAAGACGAACAATCAAACGTTGAACGTGAATAGTTTAAAACTGCACTTATTTTGAGACGGAGGGAGTAGCTCATATCCGATATCCGAGGGGAGAGGATGGATGGATGGAGACAGACACAGACCCAGAAAGCAAAAATTACTGGCTGGACAACCACCACGCCGCTTCCCGTGGTAAAACAATCATGATACCCTCTTTTTGGAACGCTCAAATTCCACCAAAGTGATGAGGAGATAGCACAAATGTGGTGGGTATTTATAGTTGCAACCTGCAAATGACAACTAGATAGATACGGCCGCAAGTATTGACAGCATCGTAAGACGGCAACAATAGGATCGCGGTGGAATCTCAGCAAGTCTGCATACTGCAAGGAAACGGTAATGGTTTGCACAATTGAATCTAACAATAGCATCAGTTATAACCAGGCAAACTGACGTGGTTGCACCTTGCAAATGAAGCCTGCATACCGCACAACTTATTACTGTCAAAATGAACAAGCACGAACTAGACAATAGCAAACAATAGCAAAAGAGAGCATTTTTTCTTTCTACGAAAGTTGTTTTCCTTAAAATGTAGTAGTAGGCTTTTAAGTCGGCAGACACTTCCATCTCAACGTCATCACTACACAATATACCTTCTAGCTAGCGTACTCAGTCAGTACAACAGCCTCTACCACAGGCCAGCAACCGAGAACATAGTTCAACAAACAAAGTTGATCAAACTTAGTGCAGATATATAAGGATAGCAGAATCAAGACTCAGGGGGGCTGGATCTGGAAGATATATCACACCATACATCGGTTAAGACTACGTTCGTACCATCTATCAAAAAACACAGACCGAGAACATTCAGGATTGCGGACATAGTAGCTCCCAGTCAACATGTCAAGGCAGCAAGCCTGCGAGGTGGAGTCCGAGATCGCCGATGTAATGGCCTGTCAGGGAGACAAACTAGTCAGCAGGTTAAACAGAGTAAGAGTATAAAATTTCTAGCCAGAAGTGGTCAGCACCATATCTGAATTCCTGTTACACAATACAAATCTGCACTCAATTAATCCAGAGGATTATTAAGACAGAAGTTCCACGTCTAGAGAATGGGGCATTGCACTAGCTGCAGTTTAGATCAGGCTCAGATAACGCTTCCTCAACGCTACTGTCTAATACTGTACGTAGTAGGAGTTCACAAGAAATAGGTCAGAGTTTGGACTCACTTTGTTTCTTCTCAGATATCATTACCTCAGACTGGTTATTGAAACAGTGAATTATCATTTGCGGTTTACTCATAATCACGGAACTAAGAGAACAAAAACACTTCTGCTCCCACAAATATAAACTACTTGTTTCCACCATCAATTTATCGAAGTAGTTGGAATTTGGAAATACAGCAATAGAGCTAGAGGTGATGGACTATTTAGTACTCCCTCCGTATTTAAATATATGATATTGTTGACTTTATTCGGTCAAACTTTTGAAACTTTGACCATCATCTCTAAAAATATATAGTTTGAAAGCGTAGAAAACATATAGGTATACTTTACTACTTTATAAGTACTTTTACAATATTATAATTTTATTAGATATTATCATTATATTATAATAGAAAAATAGTGGTTGAAGTTGCACACCAAAGATCGAATAAAGTTAACACTCAACCTAGATCAGATGTGATAGTCTGAGTTCACAAACACTGGACCTTCTGCAGAAAAAAACTTACTACCTCCGTCCCAAAATAGTTGTCATTTTGAGTTTTTGCTTGTAACTTTTGACCATTCGTCTTATTCAAAAGATTATGAAATTATTATTTATTTTGTTTTTGACTTGCTTTATTATCAAAAGTACTTTAAATATGACTTATCCTTTTTTATATTTACAATAATTTTTAAAATAAAACGAATGGTCAAACGTTGCAAGCAAAAAGTCAAAACGACATCTAATTTAGGACGGAGGGAGTATGAAACATAGGTAATGTCTTCCAGGTTAACAGGTTTACACGAGTCTAATTATGTCAAAATTCCACAAGTCTGGATGAACTGCTTATGCAAATCCCAGATCAAACCAAACCAAATAAACAGGCCACTAGGATAGGGAAAAAATAGCCACTGAATATGAAACAATATGTTACAGTTACAGATCTTGCATGCAAGATTTCACGAAAGGGCAATTGCCAGGAAATTTAGATTTAGAATTTTAGATTCAGAACAAACAGAAAAAAGAACAAGACATTGTTTGGTGATGAGATTGTGGAGTAAATGAAACCCTATGCCAGTGTAACACAACAAATCACCTATCCCAGCAAATGCAAAAGATAAAAGCATGGTTAATAACACACCTTGTACTGGTGAGTTTCTGTATAGGACCTCTGCTGAATGCCCAGTCAACATAGACAGTCCTTGTTAACAGCTGAGTCCCATTCATTGCTTTGATTGCAGTTTGTGCTTCCTCAAAACTTTCATATTCAACTAATGCATATCCCTGTTAGACAGAAGAACAGATGTGAACAGAAATCAGATAGCTCTGTGAGAAAGAAACATAGATATTTCCATATACAACTAATCCAAAAACAGTGTTTTTCACTTAGATCTATAAATGTGCTAGGCATACACTAAATAGTCTTGGATCCACGAAATTTTGGAGATAAAAACGTTGATAAGTTGGATCGTGTATCAGGAGATGGACACCAGTTGGATGCAAAGTATTTGGGAAATGAAACTAGTATCAGGGCATCATGAAAGCCATCAAATCATTTCAAACAGTAAACAATACGAAATAATTGGAAGTCCCAACACCCCTCTTAACCCTTACCATGTAAACACACCGTGGTGCATAAACCATTTATTTTCTGTAAGAATGTTAAATGATGTGTACTCTGGGGTAAACTAGCCATATTGTACCAGAATATAGCATTCTGGCAGAACCAAACTAGTGCATATTCTTGACTTAATATGAAAATAGACATTTCTCTAAATTATCACAGTAGAAGGAAAATCTAATTTCACATCAGGTACATGACTTCTAACACCATGTGCTCCAAGATTGCCCCCATTATTAGATTCTCTTATATAAGTCATCCAGAGACCTTAGATTAGTATGGGTGCAGTTTTATCAGAATAAACTAATATCTTCTTGATGTAATCAAGTAAAATGACTTGAGCAATACACTCATGTTGGTCAATTACAAAATGTGTAATCCAACTTTTACCATGCTAAATCAAAGTTGAGAATTATATCACATAAAAAATAGGAGAAACAAGATGAATAATCAATCCAAACAAGCTAAGCAATGTGGTTGAAGAAAGTGAGTGGCCATTTATGAAACTCAGAGAACATCATTTGATATGATTTCGATTAAGAAGGTTTCTAAACAGCATAAATCAAATTTTCAACTATTCTCATAGCAGTCCCTCAAGAAATATTCCTGCAAATAAAAAAGGAAAATGATGATGCAGAGACAGGATATAAATAGTCACCCAAACTCCAAGGAATACTGACAGAGTCGTTAGCGAAAGAGAATATGGTTGAAAGTAAATTTAAGGTGGTTGTGCTAAGTTGAATTAACACAGAAGCTTTATTATTCAAGGAATTACATTCAGCATATCAAACACACCATGCCCTTCAGATTAATTAACTGAATATGGGAAGCCCTCACTGCCAGAAGCTGCATGGAAAAGAAACTACAATGCACATAGGTCCCAAACAGACCTTAAGAAGCCTATATAGGCCAGTAGTAAATACTCCTATAATGTTATGTATAACCACAGTGGTTGCTGCGCATTAGCAGTTTGTATTGAATTGCTGCCTGTTGGAATAAATATCAATTTTACCTTGGCATATCCAGTGCGGCGTTCCAGATTTAAATGTAGGTCCTTAACATGACCAAAATCACTGAAAGTGTTGTACAGATCATCTTCTTCCGCGTCTTCTTTGACTCCAGAGACCAGTAGTATCCATCCTTCAATAGCTACAATTCAGCAAAACTCTCCATTAAAACAAGCGTGACAATTGATTAATGATTATCGCTGCCAATGAAAAACAAGTAGCTTTAAGAATGAAAGCGAATAAGAATGCAGAACCAGTACTGGCATGTGACAGTGTGTTTTATTGAGACAGATACCAAACATATTCTTATGATAACCCTCAGCATCACAGCTCAATTGCAACATTTCATTGTTCTCTCTCAAAAGTCATCTCGTTAAGTACATTTGGTGTTTCTAGTATACCACGATGGAACCTTATCATGCAAGTAGCTACCTGGGCTACCATATCACTGAACACGCAGTACAGAAGACAGAACCAAGTTATTATGAATTTGCATCAGTCATTGCGAATCATCCCGCAGTTTTTATACTACCTTTTAACTGCATCTCATGGTGCTGCTCAAACTAATTGATGTCATGCATTCGCTGCAATGAATTTTTTTTGTCCCAAGTAACTTTCAATACAATGGTCTAATTTCCTCCAACGCCATCAAGGACATTGGGGAGAAAAGGCATGCCTGCCAAAGGCACACAACTACGAAACCTACAGAAGAACGAAAGATCACAGCGTGCAAAATTATACAATCATTCTACTGATGGTAGTAGTTGTCACTTGTCAGCATGGAAACTCACTCAATCAGCGTAGAACCTGATGTGGTTCTCAGCATTCAGGACCACAAAATCAGTATCAATTGCAATTATACATTTGTTTTTTTTTCCCACAACCATATCAGCATATAACTGTCCACCGGCAGCGATTTAGTTTGGATCGTTAGCTTAAGCATCACATGGCTCCAATTCCCCTGAATAAAATCAAAAGCCTGCACCACAAACAGGAGTGCGCACGCAATCGAGTGGCAATCGGCAAGCCGCAAGCGCAGCCGTACCAAAAACCCTAAACCCTAGCCAAATATCACCAAACAAATCCTAGCTCACCAAATCCCTCGCGGATTATGCGCGACACTAACTGGTAAATCACACGCAAACCGACCAAAAATAGCGCACAAAACCCTACCGAGAAGTTCAAACTCGAGCTCACGCCCAAAAAAAAAATAGAAGTACAAAGGGAGATCTCACAGCGCTGTGGGCCGTGGCCGGGGTTGCCGGCATCGGCGAGGGAGTCGAAGCGGTCGCGGTTGGAGGCGAGCACGGAGGTGCTGCGGCCGAGGAGGCGGCCGCGCGAGCGCATCACGCCCTGGGAGACGATGTGGGGTACGGGTAGCGCGCGCCCGCCGCGGCCACCGCCCCGATCGTCCTCGTCCATGGCGTCCTCCTCCTCCTCCTCGTCGCGGTCGTAGTCGACGAACTCCACGTCCTCCGCCGCCGCCGCCATTGGGATGGGAGTGGGAGACAGCGAGGAGGAGGAGGAGAGCGTGTACTGTTTGCGCCGCGGAGGTGGCGACGTCCGACGTGGTGGTTTTATAGGCGGTAACGACGGATTAGCGCGTGATTACGAGGGCGGAGAGTCGGTAATTAAGGAGGGAGATTTGCGTAATGATCCCTTGAGATTTCGTTAATTAACTCGAAGCGAACTAGTGCTAGGCTGCTGGCTTAGATGTGGGCCCACTGGTCGGATCAGCCCAGCCGTCTGATCTCTGATCGGTAACGGACGGTCCAGATCGCATCTAGTTCGCACCCGGGGGGCTTCTCCGGACAGAGATGGCGGCGGCGGCGACCTCTCCCTCCGCCGCATCCTCCTCCGGTGGTAGCGGCGGCAACACGGCGGAGGGGGAGATGGCGGCGGCGAGCGCTGCTTGTGCTTGCCCCATCTGCCTCGATTCCTTCCTAGACGAGGCGTACCTCGACACCTGCTTCCGTTAGTCTCTCCTCTCAGAATCTCTCTAATTATCCTTTATTTCGGATCTTAAGATTGCTCCGCATAGGGTCTTTAATAATTAATTATGTGTAAGCTCTTCAATTCTGTAAGAATTCTTATCTTGGATAGAATCTTTGAACGACTCTTAAGTAGAGGGCAAAAGATGTGAAGTTTCTGCGAAATTGCTTGATGGCCTCTAACTAATTTGCTTCAGTTTTGTTCATCAAGAGAAACATTGCTGGAATCAGGACAGAAATCTACTGTATTTTGAAATCACCACTTGCCTTTCATCTGTTCAAGTTCATTTTCTTAGAGTCATAATGTTTGTGCAGATTCTTTTTGTTACAAGTGCATATGCCAGTGGGTAAAGATTGTATCGACCAAGCATGCCGAACCTTTATCATCAGTGCAATGTCCCCTTTGCAAGGTGAACTCATTTTCTCTGGTTCCAATAGTTATTCCAAAAAGGAACAGGACATTCTGTTTGTCTGATACCATTCTCACCACATTTCTCTTAGCTTGATAGATTATCATCTTCAAGTGAATTCTGACAGAAACCATATGAACCTATGCCCCATTCATATGTTGATTGAAAAAAACGCTTTTGAACGTGATGAAACGCCACTATTGAATATTGTTTAATTTGCTAGCTTTGGGTGTTTTTCTAGGAAAGCTTAAATGTGGAGAACACACCATACCAGCCATTACTTTTTGGTGCTGCTACATTTATCTATTGATGATGCAGTCAACTATATCTATAAATTTGACCCCTTTTTTGTTCACCGCCCGGCAAATTTTTTGTTCACCTGAGACTGTGCCCTGAGGTCCTGAATCCTGATTATATGTCCCTTGTGACATTTGCAGACCGTGAATGTGTCTATTATACATGGTTTTAATGGTGAATCATTTGAGCGGCACTACATAAATCAGGACCCCAGAAAAAGGTCCAGTTATCTCCTTCCCTCCATCTGGTTGTGCAGTGCTGCGCTTTTTGTAGTTAATGTTAACGAGCAGACATTTTTCTTTTATTTCTGCGATGGAGACCATTTGCATGCCACTCTTCTCATTGTAAATTAAATATTGTTGTTACATGTTTCAATAAGTATATTAAGCTCATTTTCCTCCTCGTGCAGACATCTTTCAGATGCACACGACTTGATTACACAATTCTATAGTATACGAGGTATAGTGTTGGTTTTTAGTTATGTCCGTGCTCACACTTTTAGAACCTGTTCCAGATATCTATCTATGAATCTAGTGTTATATGACTGACGTGTGCTCAACTGAACAGATATTATAGGCAATACTTCCAGCGTTCAGCAATTCTGGAAGCAACGCAAGTATCTTCGCAAGAACATTTGGCTTCAAACCTGGCTAAGACAGGAAATACAGGCTCTTACACGGGTACATACATACAGTACTGCATATTGTCACACGGTTATTCCATAGCTTAAAAGGGTCGCACTTGCATTATCTTCTTATCTGTGTGTAATTAGGGCTTCTCTTCTTATCTGCATTATCTGACAATCTCATTTTACCCATTACTCATGGATCATAGCTGAAACACACACTTGGGAATAATACCTACTCTTATAGTTTAGTACAAATTGGATTTGATTTACGCACTCAAGTGCACATGACTTGGGAGCATGATGATGGTTTCTATTATTCTTTCAAGTGTCGTAGAGAGTTGAGAATTTGTGATTATTCTACGATGTTATATAATCGTCGTGCTGCTATCGTGTTGCTTGCTGCAATGTATTGTAATACTGGGTTTTGCAGGATGAAAATGTTGACGCTATTATCTACCACATCCATGGTGTGATCGAGTCTTTCATGAAAAGGCAAGAGAAGGGGCATGCCTCGAAGATGGCTCCACCAGAGAAGAGGAGGGAAGAATTCAAGAGCTTGCTCATGGAAGCTGCCAGGCCGTTCCTCCTTGGCCAAACGGAGCGGTTTGTCGCTGAGGTAGAGCTCTTCTTGGTCTCACATCTGAACATTGACGCATATAGCAGGCTGCGTGTTCAGAGACTTAAGGAGTCCACTTCGCATGTGTCAAGAGAGCAAGATGTGCTGCCACAGGATCGGTCTCTGGAGGACCACTACTTGTACTTTCTAGGTGATGAAACAGATTGCAATGACGAGATATGGTGAATTGTCAAGCAATATCAGTGATCTCCTGTAGGTGATGGCACAGATTGTAATGCTGAGCTCTGTATCTCGAGTACCAATTGTTGTATGTGTAGGTGATGAGGACAGATTGCAGATTTGCAACGGATATATATCATAGTGATGTACAAGTTTTGCCAAAACAGTGTCCATGTTCCCTGTAAATTTTGCCACTCATTCGGAACCTGTAAACTGAGCACAATCTACAATGGTATATATAGATAGGAGATGCAGTCTTGCTATTCTGGTTTTGGCTGCATGCGATTTGGTATTTCTGCATATTACACAGGATAAGCTCAAAAGAGATTCTTTTCCTGACCAACCATGTGATGGAACTCCAGAATTTAAAGTTCATAAACATTTCTTTTAACCAATTCACTCACAATTTACAGGCATAACCGCACAAGGGGCTCCCTGGGTATTTGCATACAAGGAGAACTGTAGCATTCATCCTCTGCAACACCGGAGCACCTGGCTCAACTTTGACAAAGGATATTAACTACCAGTGAAACAAAAGAAATAGTGTTGTTCAACTGTTCGAGCAGCAGGTAGGACGATCTCCGGACCTGACAAAAGCAATTGGGGATTCAGGATCAGGGATCACTTCTCAGAGTGTCCAGGTCTACAAATATTACTGATGTGTTGTCCTTGGTTCGCAATTTCCTAGCTTCACTTAACACATGATGTGCTACTTTATCTGCTGAAGTTTTCTGCTCGCTGTACTTCTGCTTACCCTGAAAAATGAGATAAAAGATCAGCACACCACGACTTAATAACCATGAGGTTGAAGCCGATCGATGAGTTACCTCAAGGACAAGCTGCGCTGCCCTGTTAGCGCTAATAACATCCCATAGCCCGTCGCTGCAAAGGAGCAAACAAGCGCACGTTATGAAATGTATGAGTAATGCATTACATTAGCAAGCATGACCATCATAGATGGGGAGTTTTGATACCTAGCAATAAGGGCAGAGGCTAAGCATGCTTTTGTCATGCGAACTGCCTGGCTCACATATGGTTCAGAGCTGAACCGTGAATCTTGTTCCTTTAAAAACTTGTCCCCAAGCATCCTGCCAAGATTTAGTCCTGTGGAAATAAACAGCGAGATCGTGTCATCATTATTGTTCAAGTCTGCAGCTGATGTAAGATAGCAATATAGCATATACCACATATACGGCTTTCACCGTCTTTCAGGGGTTGTCCTGAATTTGCCATCCGGGCTCGTTCTGTTGTACTGACTACTCGATGATCCTCGGTCATTGTAATTATTTCCCCGTTGACACTGGCAACAATTTATAAATTATTGCTGTATTACAAAGCTTGATGAAAGAGGACCTTATAAATCATTTTTTATTGCTATTGTATAGCAGTTTAATATACAATAGGGTGGCAATATTTAAATTTCAATTATGGTGTATTTCACATTATACTAGCAAGTGACTGCTAGTGGGTTTTTTTTTCTTTGCGAGGAAGCAAGTGCTACAGAAAACCAAATAGTACAGTGTCTTCGAGAACAGAAAAGATGCTAATTACCTCATAATACAAGCTGAGTCACCAAGATTAGCACATTGGGCGAAGCAATCTTCGTTCTGGTCGAACCAAATCAGAAGGATAGTTGCTGTGCAGCCCTGGAAAAGATAGAAAAACATGGTAAGCCTACTGAAAAGGTGGCAATTCAAGAAACAGAGGATTCCAAGGACCCACTAGACTTCATGTACAGCATATAGCCTTAGAAAGACTATCTGGAGTCTAGGAGTTTTAATGGGAGACTCAACTCATAATTTCGGTAAATATTTCCTGGCAATCATGGGAACCTTAAATTGCAAGAGACTTCGCTTCATGTATACATTTCAGAAACCAAATTAAGAATCAGAGCTAAACTTTTAAATCTAGAAAACCAGCAAGTGATGAATTTTACACATCCAGGGGCAAGTAAAGGACAAGAAATTGCAGTAGCACATCATTTGATCAAAAAAGTTAACAAACATACAATGTAGCAACATTCGTCCAACAAATTCTATACCAACCAAATGTATAGATAAACCTTGTAACAAACATATGATATTTATTTAATCAAGTTATTAAACTACCAGACAAGAAATTAAGCAACATAGTTCAAAAAATATAGTACACGAGAAATCCAGATAAAAGGAAAACCTCATACTGATGATGGAGTGCAGCTTCAGTCAATGCAAAGGCATGTCTAAGAACATCTGAAGCACTATGGCATGAAAGAACTCTTTCTTTTGTTTCCTGTTGAGACAAAATGTTTGCAATGTTCTGTGGAAGAATCCTAGGCAACAAAGGGGGTCATCAGTTCAACACGTATATAATCATATCAAACTCAAAATCAAGAACGGTTATAGTAATTAATACACGAATGTCCAAATTCTAGGATAACATTATGATTTGCACTTGATCAAACAAATAGGCAGAAATAGCTTACCTGCTGGCAGCTATTGCAGCACCATCCCCTCCATGGCCATCGAATATGCCAAATAGCCCAAACTGTGTAAAAATCAATATCAGAAACCACTCAAGTATTTGCACAAAAACTAATCATTCACATACCTTTTCCACACCGATAAGAGGATACTGGCAGCAGCTGACATCCTCCATGTGAAGTTTCTTCCCAGTTCGACGGGCTGTCATTGGATCAGATGCTATACCAACTCCTACAGGTTGTTGGTTTTGTAGCTCAATTTGGACCTAGCACGGTAGCGCTATCAGGGAATTGCTTTCTTCAAAGATAGATACAACCAAATTTCAAACATATGTTGAAGAGTTTTTTTTTCTTTTTTATATATGCTCCAGTTTCTATGGCATGGCAGACATGTGGAACCAAATAGGCCAGCATATGAACTGAAATGTCAACAGCTAGCAAGAAAACAGAAAAGCCGAGTGTGGTAACATGTTTGCCAATTTGAATTAGGTATAGTTGGATTATATGAAAAAAAAATGCATAGGGGTTTCATTTCAAGCAGAATGATATGTGAACATAAAAGCATTAACCATCAGATGAATAATAATGCTGGACCATAAGCAATAAAAGACCAATTCTACTATAAATTAGTTATAAAAATCTTCAGTACACTTGAAAGGACACACTGAAAAACAAAAGCGGTTATAACTTACAGATACTTTTGATGAACTCCCAAGTGTTATAATATCACCATCTGCAAGTTCAGCAGGCTCACCCCAACGCCTAGATCCAACATCAGGATGATTAACTGACCGGGAATTCAAAAATGTTCCATTTAGACTACCCATATCCACAATTTCCCATTTGAGTTTCTGCAATAAAAGAGTAATAATAATTTTATTGGATGGGAATGTAAGAAGGCTTAAGATATTTGCAGGTATGTACATAGGTCATATGAATTTTTTTTTTAGATACAGCTTAGATCTTCACAACTTACATTTGCATTCCAGTCAATCTGTGCATGCTTTCCTGACACCTCTGAGTCCTTTAACACCAAATGACTTGGAGGAACCCTTCCAAGAGTCACGGGTAGCATGGACTTGTTACCTGACTGCATATAGTGGTTTATTCCATGAGATGGGCCAGCTATGACCTCCAAAGCTAGGTTGCTTCCTGCACTTCTAGCAAATGATTATAAACATGAGCATATGCATGTTAACAACAATATTTGCAGCATAAGGACCACTCGAATATTTAAATATTTTCAGGGATTTTTTACCAACTATAATGTCAGGAATGGTGCCATTGTGATTACTCTCTCCAGAATCCCTTCTTATGTGCTTCACATCAGGTGTTGGCCCATTTGCCACAGCTGGACGCTTAAGCGTATTTCCCAAATAGAGCTCTTCCGTTTTACTGTTTGTAACATCAATTACATGAGTTTCTCCTACACAAACCAAAGAATTGATTATTTTTGTAATTTTATGACGATTGTTAGTAAATAAGATGAATATTACTAAAAGAGGAAATGAAAACAAGACTGATGCTGTATAACATAATGATGAAAGTTTGGGTGTAAATGTATACGCACCTTCAATAACATGAGATTCAGTGGGATAGGTTGCCCCTTTTCCAACAATGCCATGAGTCTTAGGTGAAGTGATAATCCTATCAATCCGAATTCCTGATTCATCGACAGTACTACTATTGCTCGAGACTGAATAGTCATCCAAATTGTCAGATATGAGAGGCATGTTAATATCATCATCCTGCAAGCAACAAGTAATATAAATTAGATAAAACAGACTTGCTGTAAATGGTTTTATTAATTACAGTTTGTGATAACATTCGTATGTGAATGAATTACGACAGAAAAATCTTGTATATCTTCTAAAAACAAATTAAGTGCGCTTAGATTAAACATAGCATTCCGTGCTCTTAGCAGAAAAGTAAGACAGTGGGGGCTTCATTGGCTTAGTGCCAGTTGTTCCAGTGGACCAGGAAGCTTAATAGAGGAAAAGGAAAAGTGGTTGCTACCCATATCCAACCATATGGGACGCAACGTATCTTGCCGGGCCGGCCAAAGATTAGGCCGACCAAATTTCCTTAAGATTGAGAGTACTATGGGACACAATGTATCATTTAACACAAAACAGCAAAGTATAATATAAGTAAAAGATCATGAAAAATGATTGAAGTACAAAAATGGAAAAACATTGACTAAAGTAAAGAAAATCACATCCATTTCATCGGGCTGTATTTACTGTTTATGCTTTTGACAAACCAAGAGTCGGAAATGAAGCTTAAAGAAGCAAAGATAACAATCTTATGTCCAGTAATCCAGTTGCATCTAAGAACATTGCAGCTTGGGCAATACGACAATAATCCCCCCCTCCTCCTATCAAGCTGCAATTTGCCTTGTCGATGACCAAATTAACAAACGCACCAAATTCATCAATCAAATATGCATGCTGGATTAAATATCAGAACAGAAAACAAAAGCTACCGCCGAATCTCCACCAATGCAACATTCACTGCAAGGCAGCAGCTACAATCTAGGGCTGGGAGCAGGCCACGGTATTCCCCTCGCTCATGGTTCTGTGTTGGTGTAGTATATTCTAACGAGAGAACGCCATGGACGAATCCAAGGACCTCAAAAATCAAATCGCTCGTGAAACAGTACCCTCGTAACGAACATCACCAAGATCCACCACCACCACAAGAAAGTACAAATCACCACTCGACAATGTTTCCATTTCATACGGCGATCAAATAAATTGGTGAAAAAAAAATAATCGAGGGATTCCGGGGGGTCCGACCTGGGAGGAAGCGGGAGGTGGGGGCGCGGGGGACGCGCCCCGCCGCCACCGCCGGCAGGCGAAGACGGCGAGGCCGAGGACGGCGAGGGTGGCGACGGCGACCCCGCTGACGGCGAGGGGAGGGATGGCCATGGTCGCTTCGCGGGGTGCCGAATGGCGAATGCTTCGCGACGCACACGGGCTCCTGTTTTAATTTCTTTTCGCTCTTTTTTTCCCTTTTTTTTGACTTGTTTGTTTGTTTTTCCTCTCCGGAGGACGCTATTTTTGTGCTATGAATTCCCGAGTTTGTGTGGTTTTTTTTTCCCTCTGTTTATACATGTTACACGTGACTATTCACGTTTACTATTTTCCCTTTTATCGATTATTAATAATACCATTGCATTTATTTTTGTAGGTTTGTGTTGGAAAGCATTTAGTTTCTACAAGTTGTTGTTATCTTCAGGCTTTATCCCCAAAACCGGGATGTACTAAATATCTTTGTTTTGCTAGTGGTAGTTTTATCTATTACTCACAAATTATTGTTTTGTCAACAATTGCACTGCCGTACACTCTCCTCGTAATCCTATTACCCTGTTTGAAACATATTGTCCGCTAAATTATTACCATCGATTATCTCGGATAAACCAACTATTTTAAGAAATAAACTAAACAAATATCTGTTTCACAATGCAAGACTTTCTAGCATTGCCCACACTTATAAGGATGAGTGTGGCCTTATGAGTGTGGGCAATACTAGAAAGTCTTGCATTGTGAAACGGAAGGAATATTTTAGAAAAAGTGCTCTAACTAGTTTCATAGAAGACAATTTTGAAAAAAAAAATATGTTCTTTAAAAATGGTGCAAAAAATCTACGATAACAATATAGTTAGGTAATCAAATATTGTTCTTTTAAGGTAATTTACCCTAGACTTGCTAGACGCATGAGTTTTGTTTTTCCCTGTATTGTTGACATCATCTTAATGATGAAAATCATTTTAGAGATAAATACTGTATAAGGATACACATGTACTCCGTAATCGCTATGCACAAAAGCAGCAATAGTATAAGTCACACCCTAGCAAATAAAGCCTGGTCCGAATCTTTACCGGGTCTTTTTTTCAGACTGATCACTTGGGACAGTTTCCCTACCTGAATTTTATTAAAATGGAGAAATAGTACAATGCTTTAGTTTGTTACATTGGACCGTGAGTAATTATTAGCTGAGTAATACAATTCCCTTTCCCTGTAAGAAAAAAAAACGCCTGTATTGGTGTGGTGTATTCCCAGTGTTACCGCACCATCGAGAAAAAAAAAATGTAGTGCTCCCCTAAAATATTTGCTTCTCCCTCCCTTCAGAAATATCTATCATTTATGATAAAATTTGGTGAGCTTTTTAAAAGTTCGACAACTAACTTTATATTAGAATAACTAGGAAGGTAGCCCGCGTATTCGCGCGGGCATATATTGTACATTGCGTTTGAATATATATAAACAGAATATCAATAGGCTGACACCTCCCATGTTTAAAAGTACTATTTTTTAATAAGACACATCAGGTGAGGCCTCCGCTGTTCATCGGTATTTTGCTTTGATAATTTTTTCAAGATATTTGTTAGGTTTTAAAATATATAATATTTAATACATCTATATAAATAATTATCTATGATCGCTTTATTATATAGAATGAAGTTCGATTTAATTTGTTTGGAAAGTGTGTCTAATAAATCAAGTGTAAATTAGAAGTAAGGTGTTTTGTCCCTTTTTAATAGAATCTTTACTCGCTTTTTTTTAACAAATTCTAAAGAACTATATTGTTAATAAATATGGTTTATTTGTAGCATCAAGTAGTTCTCCTTCTAGTTGGTTTAAGTTGATGCAAGTTTTTACATACTTATATATAAATTAATAAAGACATGTCATATACCTCGCTTCACTGTGATTTGTGTGATATGTATTATATTTTTCAAAAGAAAATACCTAGTTAACATGAATCCAAAATTTTAAATTTAATAGTAACAAATATAACTTTTCAATGAACTATATAGTGCGAACCTTATTGCGGTTTGTATGTGTAATAATATGTGGAGAAACTCATAATGCTATGATATAGGATAGATGTAAGGACATTAATGTCTAAGCATTTTAAAATTGTTACGAAAAAGGAACATGCAATGGTTGGTCCAATTTTAGTGAAATGTGAGAACCAATTTTTTAATAACTTATTATGTTTTCTCTAAATAGTTTAATTTAGTCTCTATTGACATTTTCTATTACTTGCTTTATTTTATATTTTATACCAGCTCAAAATATAAGCTTTATGGATCTTTAAATCAATGTTTTAATTATAAATACAACAATATCTAAATTAGAAATCGGATGTGTAGCTTGAAATTTATGCAAGTTTTAAAATTTTTGATTATTTTCGGCTATATAAACAGGAAGGGGTAGAGTGGAGAGCTCAAGACGAGAAGGGATGGGGCGAATAGTGCCGTGTTGTGCGTATGTGTGGGGGATGGCGAAGTGGAGGGGTATTTTTTTTCTATTTTATCTAAATGATTTAAGTGAAACCAATGATATATTTTTTTCTCACATTTTATGTTATTTTTTTCTAATTCTTAAGACGTAACACATGGTTGCTTAAGATTTTCTTAAAAGAATATCTATTGGTTGAAAATAATGGATCTACCTATTTAAGTGGAAACTGATGCTAAGATGGTTTTTCTTCCAATTTGTAAAGTTATATTTTTATTTAAGGCGTAACACATGACGCCTTGAGTGTGCTCAGAGGATGTCCAGTGATTTACGGTAATATAATACTTATTTTCATTTTGTATTATGGTCCGTGTTTTTTCTATTTGGTTACCATGCAAAGGAACAGTGTCTATGCTTAAATGACATATTTTCATTTTTTATAGAGTGAAATATGGGTAATATGGATCTTAAATATTTTATTTAATTGTAAAAAAACAAAAATTCAAATAAGTTAAAATTATGATTTAATTTAAGAATTATAATCATTTAGCTTTCTAATTATTGATATTTCTTTACTTAGTTAAAAATTAGGAGATAAAGGAATTAAATGAGTGAGTAGAGGAAGAGAGCGTTGAAGGATAGAGATTATGCGTGCATATAATTGCAATAATTCTTTTTATCCGATTATGCGTGCATATAATTGCAATAATTCTTTTTATCTGTCGTAGGCTCTCCGAATCTTCCATTATAATTAAGAGATGAAATAAATAATTCAAGTCATCAAACAAGCATAATGAAATATCCGACGCCTCGAGAGAGTAATATTGGAGATATTGTTGGGCCTTTAGCCTGCCAGTCAACTTCAGCCTGAGATGTGCCCGTTAAACCACTCGAAGGCGGTGACCAGATATGTTACACATTTAGGAGACTTGACAAAAATGGCTTAAGATCTACAACATCTCAAATATTCTTAACTCATACTCATGTGAATCTAATTCCCAGGATGTGCACTAGATTCACACTTTCATCTCAAGCATGATTATACATAGCAAACACAAATAAGATGAAAGTGATTATAAACTACATCTACTTTAGTTACATTGGCCGACCGACCAAATAAATAATAGAACAGCGGAAGCTTGTCTTTCCAATCCACAAGCACACCGACTAGGGGTTTACCCCATTAAGTTCAAGTCCTAGAAGAAGCAGTCGATCACCCGCATCACTCAAAGGCTAAGTCTAAAACCTGCAAGCAAAAGTTAATTCAACAGCAAGAGTCAATAATGTACTGGCAAGCATCAAGACAAGCCTAACACCCTACTTGCAAGGCATATAATCAAGGAAGGCATAGTATGGTTCTTTTTAGCATAAAGCAAGTTTTATTTGCATAAAACGCATTCAAAACGGATTTGCTTTCAAATAAAATTTCAGCAAGCTAGTACTTAACATATGGGCATCAAAGTAGGCATTAATCATGTATAAATATCCACCTCATTGCCATCCATGGCAGCAAGGAGATCATTCTCAAATCTCATCACAATTTGAAGGTAAATTTCAGCATTCAGGAGAATAAACACAAGTCTATACTCAATACATATCCACACGCCGCTCATGACCGTGAGCACGGCTAATCGATTAGTTTTAACTTTGCAGAGTTTGTACACTTTACCCACATGATACGAAATAATAATCATGCAAAAGCATGGCACGCGATACATAAGTACCCGATTTATTACCCGCAACAAAGCTTTTCCAAAATTCATGATTTAGCCTTACACCAGCACGATACGTGTTACTCCATCCTAAGCCATACTCGATATATGGCCTAGAACCGTTAAGTGGTGGGCCCACGCCTTAAACTTAACGCCGTGGTGACGGACACAACGGGAACCCACCACGTGGCACAATACCGTTGTATTGGACACACTTAGTCACCTAAACTACCACGTCGGGGTAAATAGGAAGCTCCTCTGAATTATATGAACTCATACACACCGGCCTACCAGAATGTAAGGCTAAACCATAAACAACTTACTAAGCTTGGGCTATCCCATACTAGCATATGTGGTTGTACTGTATACGGAATGAACTGACATTGAGTGAAGTCCTTAAGTCGGTTTGGGCGCACACTCCCCCTATCGGTACATAACTAATCACCATATGTGCACCACTTGAGGCCCAAACCTAAAATTCATATTTTCCACCATTTTATTTATCAAAATCACAAGTATTAAAGTTCTGCTCAGATTATTTAAAAATCAATTTTCATGTTTGTAATGAGCCCATAATGACAAGGAAGACCATTCTAAGCATGGCTAAGCATTATAGTAACCTAGTGTCACCAAAACTCGTATATAAATGGTATAGTCATATTGTTCCTAAGGTTAGGTATGAGGGATATGGATATATGTGGGGTTAAGGTGATAATGCAAATAATAGGAGTTTGTCTAACAAGTTTAACAAAATTTTAATTGATTAGTGTACAAATCGACATGCAAGATTTACAAACATTTTCAATAACCTCCAAAACATAGGTTCAAAGTGATCAAAGAGAGGGAGGTAGGACTTGCCTTGTAACTGGAAAAAGTCAGCACCTAAATCACTTCTTCACCGTTTAAGCAATCATCTATACAATGTACACGTTATGCAATTAAAACACCGAAATATGTGAAAAATCCAAAATGCTCTAAAATGCATG